CTGGTCTGTTGGGCAGCAGAGCTTCAGCGGCTGCACGCGTTCGCAATCCCGCGCTCTTGCCCCCGCTTCGGGCCTCAGGTCCAGCTTCGGAGCCCTGTCGCGGCTGCCCGGGCCCGGCCACTGGCGGGAGCCTGAGGCTTCGAAGAGCTGTCTATCGCATCTATCGGTCACAGGCTCTGTCGCAGCTGTCTGTTACAGGCGCTGCCGGGGGCGGGCTGGTTGTGGCAGCTGGGCATCACTTAAATCAATCAACCCCAAACCTGTCGGGTGACATCCAAACGCACGCACCAAAAAGAGAGATAAAGAGAAGGAAGACAAACAAAGACAGGACGTGCCAAATACCCTCGTCCAGCTAAGGGTCGGTCGTTTGCCCGAAGGTTGGCTCAAAGTCCCCTTTGAGAGAGACGCATGGGGACAAAGCAGGTCTTCTAATCCAGTAAGACCCAGGCAACAGGTGATTTTGACAGTGGCTCACCTGGAGTTGGTTCAACGGCGGATTCATTCCTTTTTTTGACTTTTTCGGGTGCAGTGTCATGAGCCATGTGAGCAATGGTCACACTCTCAACATGTTCAGCTTCCCCAAGCTCATGTTCTCTTACATGTCCTTTGTTTGAAACCTGCCCTCAATCAAACCCACAACCAAGTTGGGCTCACTTCCTGAGTGGATGTGCCAAAAAGAAGTCCAAACTTGTTGTTTACCACTACATTGGTGTTAAAGCGTTATCTCCAGGAACTCAGGGAGTGAGTAGTACTTGTGGCCCATTCAGCCCAAGGCTCTTTCTTACCTCCGCCCCAAAAATATCTTAGCTAGTTAGCTACTTAGACAGCCCAGGTGACGCTGGAAGCTTCAGGACTTGTTGTTAGACCTGAGACCACTCAAAATCCAAGATGTTCAGCTGCCCCAGAACTCATGTTTCCTTGCATGTCTCTTGCTAAAGAAATGCCCGCGATTCGGGCTTTCCGGGTCGGCCGCAATGAAATGTGGCATAGCTGTTCGATTTCAACAGACTCCCAACCCCTAGAAAGCCAAAATCAGCAAACGAATCCGACACGGCCTTAAGTGTCCTCGATTCAAAAACACGTCAAGTGCCCTTCATTGGAGGGCACTAAAATTATGCTGGTTTCTATTTATTGATTTGCTTTTGTGTATTTGTTTGTTTATTAGTGTTGACTTGTCCTTATCTATTAACGGAGTTCTTGATTCATTCACTAACTCATTTATTTGTTTGCCCTTGTTTGTTACAGATTGTTGTTTATTCACTTGTTTATTTATTGGCTTATTTATATGGATACTTTCGTTTATTCAAGTTGTGATTTACTTCTGTACTGTTTTATGTATTTCTTCATTCACTTGTTGAATTATTTGGTAATCGAGTTATTTATTTAGATACTTACGTATTGATATGTACTTGCTGTAAATCTATGTATCTGTGCATTCGGAGCGGGATCCCTTGGTTGTTTCTTTAAAGGGGAAAGGGGCAAGCATCAAAAGCGCCGAGCTTTGCAAGCGTCGGGTTTTCGTGGGCCAAGTGAGCAAAAGGGAGCTGCTTGGCGCTACGGGACCCAGCGATTCTGCAATCCCCGTAGCTTCCCACCGAGATCGCGCAAGCGACAAAATAGATCGGGCCAAACCCCAAAACCGGTTGGACCCTAAGCGATCGGACCAACTGGGGAAAGCGATTCGGCAACTTGCGTGGCGCCAACGCGAGCAAAAGTGAATGGAACCTCAATACTCTGAGGGTGGTCAAAATTTGAGTGGTTTATTATTGCGATTATATTCTCAGGCATCCAAGCCTAAAGCGGAAAATATTGTCTTGTCGAACGCCGCTCTTGCCCGTGGCTTCGTGCCGAAGCCGTTGGAGCCTTGGTTGCGGAATTCCGGCCCCTGAACGGATCGGACGCCTTTTGGCGAGAATGCCTCCAAGGCAAGCATCCCAAAGCCGTCTCGAGAACATTTCGCAAAGCAGGGACTGTGGCAGGAGAGCGGGGGAACCTTTTTTGTTCAGGGACACCCCCTCTTTTTTCTGGCCGTTTTGAAGGAAAACCAAAGGAAACACCGACATCCATCTTGGGGTCCAAGGCCTAATTCAAGGCTCGTGATCTGCTTCAACTTTGCATCGGACATCAAGACACGAGTCGGCCTCCACCGGCCTTGCGTCAGAAACCACGAGGCCGGGAGAATTTTGCAAACCAACAAACTTCCACGGAAAAAAAAAGTTATAAAAAAAAAAAAAAAAAAAAAAAAAAAAAAAAAAAAAAAAAAAAAAAAAAAAAAAAAAAAAAAAAAAAAAAAAAAAACAAAAAAAAAAAAAACAAAAAAAAAAAACAGAAGAATAAAAAAAGGAGCCATGTCTTCTCCCCCCGTCAGTTTTGGCCTCCCCCGGTGGAAAACTCATACGGGTATACATCATTTCGCGGCGAACCTCCCAGGAGCGCGAAGCACTCCCCCCCCTCCCCCCCGCCATCCATTTTGTGTGTCCCCCTGCTTTAGACACACACAAATATATCTCTACAACGGTCCGTAAGAATTCCAGAAAACTAGGAACCCCGTTCCAACCAGTCCCTGCTTCTTTGAGCTTCCCACAAATAGGCGCCACCACCTTTACCGCCGCAAACGCGGAGTTCGCAGGCGCTGTGGATGCACCTTCGTGTGACGAAGCCTTGCAACTGGCCCTTGGCTGATCACAGTTTTGCCGGGCCCACGAATGTATGGTGCATCTCCCATGGGTTGTTTCTTTTTTTCACTACCTGGAGTCTCCATGACCCTTTAAAAATGGGTCCATGACGCTTTCTTTATTTTGGGTAATGACCAACCATTTTCTAAGCGTCATGGAGACTCCAGGTAAATAAAAAAGGGCTCTCCCAACAAAATCCCGCTGCATCCCCTCTTGGACATGGAACCGGAGGAGCCTGGAAGCTTCTGGTTTCTATGTCAGCGGGTACCCGCTGCGGGAGACTCGGGAAAGTCACAGAATCCGCTTTCTTGGCAACTGATTCACGCCTTGACAACATCCCGTCAATTGAGAGATGTCTCAAGTTGTGTTGGACAAGATGCAACTCACATTCGGAGATATGAATGACGGCATCAGGTGCCACGAATATCGGCTTATTTTTTGACCAGGTACTGTAGATGGACGAAATCCTGCGCCACCTAAGAAACCCTGGAATGGTTTGATTCCTCAACGGAACAAACGTCATGCTGTCCTTCCCATGGTCTCATTTCGCGGTGCGAGACTCGCGGATTTGGCGAAACCGTCCACTGTCATCCGTTCTTGTAACCAGGGAACTGGCTTAGTTGGTGTATAACCATGATGATAACCTACTAAAGTGGGTATTGCCTAACTCGGTTGCTTTCTGCTCCCCTGCTAAAAATGTTTGGTGGTTTAGTGGAAAACCCATTAGTTGGCAAAAAGTTAAAGCAAAATGCACCAAAGCTAAGGCTGAAGCCCCCTTCAAAACCAAGATGGACCCAAAAAGCCCAGCAACTCCGCCAGTAGAGGCCAAAAAGCGCCTTGCATGATCGGGGCATATCTCCCTTCAACCCGAAAGCTGGCACGGGTGGGTCTTTTCTTAGGGGGACCCCTTTGGTGGTTGGCCTTTTGGCGTCCAGTTAACAGCCACCAAAAAAGGACCAACTCGAAACACACGGGACATACTTCTATCCGTTTTCCAGGCTCATCTATGGCCATAGGTACATGGACTAATCTACACCAGAACCCAACTCTAACACTAAGGACACTGAGAGAACTCATAGCCCCCTTGGTTCATTCAAAAAATGGAAGCCATGCCCCAGAAACTGTGAAAAAGATAATCCCTGCAGGGCATCTCTTTTTCAAACAAGGACCGTCATACAAGAGCCCCGCTTCGAACGCGGGCTGTGCTCGCTGATCGGACTGCAACTGCAACGCCTCGAAAGCCGTCCGTCAGCGTCTCGCGAGCCATTGGCACTAGACGGGCACGCACCTACCCTCGGTTCGCCGCTCACCGGCCGCCCGAGGGGCTAAAGGTGATTTTTTCTTTCGTGGTTGGGCTTGAGCTTTTTGCAACAGCTCTTGGTTGCTGTTGACCCCTCTGCTAAAAGTGAACCACTTTTTGCGGGTTTAGTGGAAAACCCAACTTGATTTAGACCAAAGAGTCAAAGTTCAAAGATCCGTTGCCCAGCAGTGAGGAGCTGGCCGGCTTCCAAGAAACTTGGAACTTCAAAAAACCCAAAGAAGCGGCCCAGCCTGACGTTGAATTGAGGACACGGTGAGCATCAAAATACCCTGGCTGGCATTAGGACCCCAGCAAAACATTATCTTTTTTGCCTGGTTAGTGCAAAACAAAGGGACCCAAAAAAAGAAAGAAAAAAAAAGCGGGGCGAATTCTGGGGAAGTTGCGGGATTGATGTCCACCAACCTCTTTGATTGGGTGCTTCCCGTTGAATGTAGCCACATCGCCCCACAATATTGCTTGTTTTCACGAGGGCACGGGGAAGACTGCATACTCGTCGTTGGAATTTGGCCTGTCCCCCTTCTTGTTCCCCTGAGCGGGCAGTAAATCCATTAAATCCGGGGTGGTATGATCCCTCTGGCTTGTCCCCGCATGCCCGCAGCAAAACCAACAGATGACTAGCGATCAAGTTGTCAGTGACTCATACTGAAATGTGATCAAACTCAATTCCTGTAAGAGGAACCCTTTTGGCTGACTGGGGTCACTGGAGTTCCGAGTTCCCCTTCAACAGTTGCAATGGACCGGTGGTGTCCAGTCAAAGCACTGCCACCTTTGCAGGGCCCAAAAAGAGAAATGGAGGGTTTGGTATCGTTGGTATAGGGATCCATGACCATCCCTACAGCTTCCTGTTGTTCATCCTTCATTGCAAGCATGGTCGACTCCAGAAAGCGGAGCGCGTTTCTGGGAGATTCGTTCGGTGACGGTGCGCGTCTCGGCCAATTTGAAACAGTGCGCGTCTCGGCAAATGCGTTAACGAATTCATCAAAAGTATAGGAAACCGAACGAGATCAGCACACCTTGGAGTCAGTCGTGCGGTTTCATCATGGTCACGTTTTCTGACACGTACTTCAGCCGAATTCCATCAGGGTAGGAGCTAAACTTGCTCTGTGCCTCCGGTTTAGTTGATATTTGGACCAAAAAGGATAGAACACTCATGGTCCAAGAACCTTGTGAGGATGCATTTTAACCACATGTTTGGGTCATGTCCCTTGGTACTTGGGACTTGCCCATTCTAGAGCGCATTCTACTCTTTTCTCGAAATGTGGAAAACTAACAGGGTTGCTTGACTGCCTCCGTCGCGCCATGGTTTCCTCTGGTTAATCAAGAATGCTCACTGGAAGCAAAGGGTGTGAGAGGACTTCAATTGGACTCAAGGGTCACTAGCCCGAGTTTGCCAAAAAAGCACGGGCTTCAAAAATTCGGGCGCTAGGCCACGAAACAAAGGAATCTCAGGAAGAAACCACAGAAAATAATCTCTGCCTTGTGCTTATTCCTCCCAACCCCTGTTGGTAGGCTTTTTGCATCTCCGTCAAGAGGTAGTCTTCCCACGCTCTCAGCATCTTTCGACCCGTCATTTGCGTAGTTCTACGTGGAGTTAGACTCTCTTAATCCATTCCAGCTCGTGAGGGACTATAACCCCCGAACACCTTTCCTTCATTTGGTTGAGACCCCTGGAAAAAAACAAAAAAATGTCCATTAGTGATAGAGTCCCTTTAAAACCAACAAAACAATGTTAAAACATGTTCTTAAGCACATGGAAGTTTCACAAACAGTCCGGCTTCTCACAGTGCACGTGTCACCCTACTCAGTTAGCTCTGGTCCACGAAGAAAGCAACTCGGGTTGTGGTTTGCTTGGTAGTTCCCACTTGAGTCGCTGGGCTTACATGTCTTGCCAGGGTCTCCCAGATCCTGCCAAAACACAAAACAAACATACACACTGTGATGTCTCAGGTCCCATGGCGCTAGGCAACCTGCATTTTCCGCTTTAGTCTCTAAAGCGTGACTTTCTTGGACACTGTGGATGGCTACGAAATCCATTTCGCATCACCATTCAGAAACCCTGGAATGATTCGATTCCCCAACGTAAACACCGGAACCTCATAATGTCCTTCCCATGGTTTCATTTCGTAGTGCGAGACTCGCGGATTTCGCAACCATCAACCGCACGGTGAACTGAACATGTGACATGCAGAGCTTCTTGACCGGATGTACCTTTGCTGGTTTGGATAGCCGGGGATGTCGCTTTCCATTGGGTTCAACCCATGGTCGCAAAAAGACGGTTGTTCGAAAAGCCCAACCAACAAAATGAACAGAAGCGGAAAACAAGCACATGACAAAGTCCTTGTGTGGCAACTGTGATGCCAAAGTGCAAGGCCTGGAAAGCCAAGAAAAAAAGGCTAACTAACCTCGAGCCATTTGTGCAAACGTCAAACCTCCCAATGTGGGTCATGATCATTGCGGGGTTCTCGCATGAATCCTCATGGTGGTCAAAACTCCCTGACGAGTCCATGACCATCCCTACCAACCACAAGTCAAAGAGGCTCTTGGGGACCTAATCAATGCGGTTGACTTCCCGTGTTGATTCCCTCTAAACCAACCTTGGAAAGAAGCATCCCAACAAAAAAACACTGGGCTGTTGGGGGCTCCCTTGAAAGTCACAACAAACAAACAAACAAACAAACAAACAAACAAACAGGCAGACAGACAGACAGACAAACAAACAAACAAACAAAGAAACAAACAGGCAGACAGACAGACAGACAGACAGACAAACAACGACGGGGATGGTACCACCCAACAAAAAGACAGACCCTTTTTGTCCTTTCGGGCTCGATCCATTCTCGGTCTCTATTGGTGGCGTAAGTTTTCTGGAAACAAGCACAACATATCTCCAGGAGTGATCAATTCCCCGGAAAAAAAGAGGGTAAAACATATTCAAGTGGGTCTGTCTTTTTTGGGGGTACTGTCTTTTTGGATGGTTTTGAAGGGAAGCCAAAGGGAAACCAACTATTCTGGGCACTCTGAGTATGGCTCTAGTATCATACCCCCGTGTTGGAATCTATATACATGGAGTCTCCATGACCCTTTAAAAATGGGTCCATGACCCCCTTATTTTGGGTAATGAATAACCCCATTTTTAAGGGTCATGGAGACTCCAGGTAGGTAAAACAACTGCTGGTGACGTTTTGCCAAGAGCCAACCGGAAGAGCTCAGAGCGGAAGCTTATTTCACCCCTTTGAGAGAATCCCCAAACACACTCCCAAAGAAAGACACCTGTCGGGGAAGACTAAAATACACGGTGCGTGTTGGGGTGGACGCAGTTCTGTAGTTCTATGCCGGTAAAGAGGATGAAGAGGATGGCAAAACCCAATGAGGGGCAGTTGGCAGCTGAAGTGCGCTCAACTGGATCTGGGTGTGAAACCCATTTCTTTGAGGGTACCTGGTTTTTCGGGAGGAGGAAAAGCCATGCCCAACTTTCAGACTCTGAGGTCCGGACAGCCAGGGCCGTCTCCTCGTTCAGAACCCGCGCGCAAGGCATGTGGCCCTTCCTGGCGGAGAAAACCTTCGCCTATCGCGGGTGCGACTCTCGGGGAGAGAGGGTTGGAATGACTCCTACCTCAAGTCTCCACCCGAAGGTCTCCATGACCCTTTAAAGATGGGTCCATGACTCCTCGAGTTTGGGTAATGACCCAACCATTTTTTAAGGGTCAGGGAGACTCTAGGTACTGTGGATGGTTTCGCGAAATCCGCGAGTCTCGCACCACCGAACTCAGAACCCAACACCTGGACTCGGTCATTTCATGTTTTCGCAGATGCCCCCCCCAAACCAACAGCAAAAATAATCATGAGGTATACAACCACGGTATCACCAGTATGTAAAGGGTATACACCCGCCGCGATGGGGAACCTCGCAAGGGATTGGCATTTACGCTTTCTGGTCCCTTGCAAGCATGTTCTTTTCTCCCGAAAGCATTGCGAAGCGCCATCTGACTTGACCCGCGGGGTAGCGATTTGGGGTAGTGCAACCATCTTAGACAAATAAATCAAGTTGGCATGTCCAGATAGTTTTGAAGGTATGGTTGCAGAAATATGGATGCTGTCAGAATAGGGGGACCCACACCAGCGTGTGTGTGTGTGTGTCAAAATAGGGGGAGATATTTTCTGTTTGGTTTCCCTTTAACCTGCCCCAAAAAGGCTCTTCTCGGGAAAAAACCCGCGCCCAAAAAACCAACAACAAAAAACAGTTGCCTTCGCCAGCTGTTTTTCCCCGCCTGCGCGCGTGGGCTGCCGCGGCGAATCCCAGCTTATCCGTCTTCGTGAGGCTGGCACCTCAGCAAAACCGGTGCTTTCATCAAGGCCGACATTGGGGGCAGTTGATCTTCTCTCAACTCGATGGCACTGGCACTGGCACTGGCAGTTGATCTTCTCTCAAGGCCGACACCGGGGGCTTCCGTAGGATTCTTGTTTTGGTAACATCGATGGCACTGGCACTTGATTGGAACCAAAACTCACTTCCGAGGAAATCCACTTCTGTGATACAGAAAGGGCTTCCCAAAGACGTTCACAAACCTCTTGATCCCGCAACCCTGTGTAGTGTAGGAGTCCTTTTGGTAAAATCGATGGCGCTGGGAAATGATTAGAACCAACCTGCAGCCGGTGCCATCTAGGTTCACCTACAAAGGCCACCTATGCTGACTTCCTCAGGGCCAAAAAGAGTACAAACTATGTTCTTTGCCACTAGAATGGTCTTCCCATAAAGTATATATAAAGTCCAGCAACTCAGGGAGTGAGTCGAACCGGCCATTTTGCCAGAGGTTTAGAGTAAGGCTTATTTGGCTATGATGTCTATGAGAGTTGGAGCCACCTTCAAAGTGGTTGGTGGACAAATTCATCCCCACCTAAATGATGTCCATCACTTCTGGATCTTCAATTGATATTCATACCTCGAATTCCACTAGTTGGTGGTTTGGATTTGTGGTTTGGAGGTGTTCCGGGGGGTGGTTTCTAATTTACCATCTACGAGAGGGGCTCAAACACCCCGAACCGCCAATCAAATAAGGGTTACCCGAATTTGAGAGAGTTCTTGTGAGTTTACATGGGTGTGAATTTTCGTAGGGCACCCATTGCTGGGCATCACTTGGGTGGGGATTCATGTCCGCCAACAACTGTTGAGAGGGAGCTCACATACTAGACATAAACAACAAAAATAACAAACGATGAAGGTGCGTTCTGCCTGGTTTTTCGTCGACGAAGTCATTTCGAGCTTCGAGTCTGGAGTCTCTTGAGTCTCGGGCTTCGAGTTTCAAGCGCCCCCATGGCAAAACCCCTCGCCTGGGCTTTAAACGTGTTTGACTGGTGGGGTACATGCGGAAACCCCACCACTAAATGACTAGACCAACTAAGAACATCTAAAAACCCAAGTTGAGCCGGATGGCTGGGAAAAACCAAGTCAAGTGCCACTTGCCCCTTTGAAGGCCTAGACGTCAAAAACTCCCAAGAAAACCTTCTGGCAAACTCCAAAAGGTCAGGTCTACAAAACTTACCTCAGTTGCCCAAAGGACCTGGAACCAAAAGGTTAACCTTTTGGGGCCATGACTAAATATGGGAACCCAAAATTGGAAAGCCAAAAGGTCAAAAGGCCGATTCGCTTTGAACAACTGAGATACAACTCAAAAGTTGCCTGGACCTCTTGAAACGAAGTCGTTGGGGAAAACCTGAAGGAAAGGTTGCTCCGTTTTGGGCAACGTTGACGTCGAGCGGGATGGAGTTGGTAACTTCGTCTTTGGGGACTGGAGCTTTGGTTGCCAGGACTGAATGATAGTGGGCAAAGAAAACCAGACAACTCTTTGAGCCTTTTTTTTGAGAAGCCGCGTGGGTCCAAGCTGCACAAAACAAGAAGTATATAGACACCACACCTGCACCCTCAAAGTTCCCTCAAACATGGGTTCTTGCCCCAAAATTATGGTTGGTGAATTCCCTTCTTTATGGGTAGTTTGAGGGTTCTGGCAGACAATAAGTGGGTTCCTATAGCAAGTCTCGAAACCAAGCCACCAAGCCATGAGCCTCTTGGTAGCTCGATATCCCTAGCTGAGCCAAGGCTTGAAGCCAAGCCCTTGTTCCATCGTAGGTTCCCAAGGTAAGTGAAGTGAACTGTTGAGGGCTCAACTGGGGTCAACAGGGTTTTTTTTGGGGTAGTCTGGTCATCTTTTCGGAAGGCCTCATTTTAAATTGGTGAATCATGTCAACTCTGGGTTTCTCAACTCTAGGTCTTATCATGGATAATTCCCCAGGCCTGCAACAACTGGATCGAAACGCCTGAAATCACTGGGCCTGACTTTCATGAAATCTTTAGCTTGTCAACCGTGCACCCGGGGTCCTTTGGGTCTGGGGTGGTCTGTCATTTAACCCAGGGTTGATGAACTCCTTCTTGAGCTGTATGGGTGGTCGTTTTGAGGGTGCTCCCTCTTTGTGTGGTTTACAAGGGAAATCAAACGAAAAAACCATCCCCTCAAAGAGGCACCCGCATATGGGAGAGACAGTTTCACCCTCCGGGGGAAAAAAGTGAGGTCTATTCATCCGGGGTTGGTCATATAAAGGCCTGAATAATCAGAATGGGCAAAGGGCCCGCAGGAGCCCAGCAGCCACAGCAAGCCAACATGTGAGCTCGGGGGTTCGACCCACACAGCCACACACGCACACGCAAGGATGGTAAAGGCCATCCCGAAGGCCCTAAGGCTTGGGTTGGTACCATCGCCCATTCGATGACAGGGGAGGTCGTAAGGTTGTGGCAAACCATCGGGGCCTGAAAGGCGCATGGCACGGAGAAATCCCCAAAGGAACCGGCCTCCCCCAAATGGACATGGCTAAACTAGCGAGCGCCTTGATTTGGCCGGAAACCTCGTGAGTCCCCCGATGTTCCTTTTGAATAGACTACTACCGAACGGCGAAGCAGCGCCCAAACTCCATTGACTGTTGGTTCATGAGGTTGATACAGGCCTTATCCCTATTGAAAACCCATTGATGTGGAACCGAACCACTTAAAACGCGCAAAAAGTGCTTGCGATCGATGTGATCCGTGGCTTCGAATTCTTGGAGGAGCAAACCATTCAGTACTTCTTTGGGGTGTCTTCAAATCCGGCAACCCCCAAACTGCCGGGCTTTCCTTTTGGTTTCCGAATCCCTTTCCACCACTCAACCCCGCATGGGCCGCCGCGAGAGAAAACTCTCCGTGGCCAGGGGGCCGTTTTCCACGAGCAGCCGCACGCAGTCCAGGTGCCCGCTGATCGCGGCGCCTCGGCGCTCGGAGCTCGGCACGGCTGTCGGCGCGGGTCCCGGGTCCGTGGAAAACCCGGGCTGTGGAGGGTGGAGAAGTCACCACCTGGGAAAAAAACAAGAAAGGAAAAACAACACATTTCGTTGATTTGGCATATGCATGTCAACTTGCTATGCCACAACGTTTGTGACTATTCGCAGGGGAATCGAACCATTCCAGGGTTTCTCGGGTGGTGCAGGAGTTCGTCAGTCCGCAGTGTGCTCAAACTACCTATCAGCTTCCCCAAAAACGTGGCTTGGAACGAACCTCATTTACTCTCTTGTTTGCCCCTCATGTCCTTCTATATTTGGGGTCCTTGGATGTTCAAACCAAGTAGGCAATAACAATCGCTATCAGACAACTAACCCCAGTTACCCCGGCTATAACTCCGGCAAACATATTGGATGTGTTTTCTGTGGACTCCCCCTGTTCCTCTTTCCATTCTCTTTTAGTACTCTTCTGCTATGCTACAGGGGCGGATCCACAAAAAAGGCATTCAAACCGTTTCCTAGAAAAAACACCTTGATTATGCCCTGCTTGCCAAGTGGGGTTGAACATACACTGCCACTGTCAAAGGTCCGAAACGGGGGACATGAGGGATCTTGTTGGGACAGCGAAACAAATCAGAGGGCAGCCACTCTCATTGCCCAGGACAAACCACACGACCAGCGCTGGTTGCCCTGGCAAATGGAAGCAAGGACTAAAACATGCGGTGCATATCCTGGTGGTTTAGCGTTTGTCCCATACCCAGAATAGGGAAACCCCTCCAAAAAGACTGGAATGTGAGGGCACTGCTGGCACGGGCGACAAGATGTTTTGCTTGAGGACCCCACCCCCCACCCCGAAAGACCAATCCACCAACCGTGCAGGCGGCCTTCTGGCCTTAAAAACTGCCCAACCCTTGGCACCTTTCAAGATGGAACAAAGGTCGTCCACTTTTTCGTCTTGCAAAGGGCCACACAGCGTCTGATTCTTCCCCACATGCGGGGCCTGCCCGTGTGTGTGCAACGCGTGCCCTTCCTCTCCCCTCGAGGTGGGCGGTCCATGGCCACCTATTACCCAAGCACCGGTCTGTTCACCACAGGTCTGAGTCAAGGAGAGCTGGGGGGCTATGAGGCCTAGTCTTGGAATAACGCAAATGGACACCAATCCCCCAAATGATGTCCACTGCCCGTTGCGAGCTGGTTTTAGAAGGGGCGCAACACCCGCGTCGCAGCACGGAGAGCTCCGGCAGGACTATACCGATGCTGGTCCGGCGCTTTGATCCAGGAGCGCCACGCATCTGTGGAAAGCCGCCCGTGTCTGGCCAAACGTTTTGTCAAGGGACTTGAAGCCTGTGGAGGCTTGGCCCAAGCATTTCCGTTGCGCAAGGCCGAGGATGGGTTGGCCGAGGATGCGGGCGGCCACAGCAAGCGGTTTTCGGGTGGCTACGGTAAGACGGGAATGTCCTTCCTTCTTCTCTTGACCTTCCATCTCCCACGACTCCAAGGTAGAGGCTGGTGGGAGAGACTGTGGAAGGGATAAAGAGAAGGTCATTGCAGTCTGTATTATTCCTACCTCTGGATCCACCATTATATGGCAAGGGGTGCCCCTTGTCTAGTGGCTTCAAAGGGAAACCAAAAGGACAACCGAAGCCCTCGGAGCCCCTGAGGGCGCACAACCCAGATTGAGCTTTGGGGCCCGAGCGCATCAAGGGTGTAGTCCCCAAGAAGTCCTGACGCACAGAACGCACGAAATGCTGGCTCCAGGTGCTTGCCGTTGGCACAGGTGGCTATGGGTCAAAAATGTGTACCCAAGTGGAACCTAAAACTACAACCTGCGGTCCCCTGGAGTTGTTTTTGACCCATACCCAGGTGACCTTCTGGCGGAATAGAGGTGGGGTTCCCGTGGTAAATGAAGCAACACCCACTCTAAGCAAGCGAAACCCATCTATTTCTTACGAAAACTAGCCGATCAACAGGATCGACCGTCAAGGTCACCCAGTCGTAGAGTGAAGGGCTTTGACCTCCAAAAGTCAAATTAAGGATCCCAGAAAAAACCATCGGGTGGTTCCACACAAACAGAACGGTGCAGTTTACAAAGGTGCTTTTGGAGGTCCAAACAAGTCGGGGATCTGGAGGGACCCCTCACACCCAAACCTTGGCCCTGCCAGGGGCCAAAGAGAAATCCATCCCTCAAAGGGAAAGGCGCCTTCCTGGGGCCAGATTTCGTTTCCCTTGGGTTGGTTGCAGTTTGTGGTTTCCCTTCAACCAGATGTGGGCGTGACGTTTGTTCAATGCGCTTTTGGAGAGAGGCATCGCCAAGGGTAGACACCCTTCAACATCTGGAAGCACAATCTTAGCCATTGCCAGCTTGCCTACTAGGGTTTGTGTTTGAGGGAACTCCAAAATAAGTGGTATCCATCTTTGGGTTTGCCTTTGAAGCAACCCTTTCAAAAAGAGTCACACCCACATCTGGAAACCAACCCAAAGAAGAAATCTGGAACAAGGCTGGCAAATTTTTCTGGGAAGTCCTCTTTTGAATTTCCCCCAAAACCTTCATTTGCGAATGCGTCACAAGAATATGCAAATACGAAATCACCTTACCCCTAAGGAACTGAATTCACCGAAGCCATACATCCACAAATTACACAACAGTCGGGCAGCGGCAGAACTTGAGCCCGCAAGCTCCCTTCGCGTGGGCAAACAGAGTGCACTGCCATTGTGCCACAGGCCCTTTGTGCCCCTGGAATAAACGGAAGGCCCGTGCTAGATTTACGGAGCAAAGCCTTGTCGTTTCCCTTGGCTTGAACAAGCCCGCTGATGTCATGAGTCTGGTAAACGCTTCCCTTGCTTCACAAAATAGGCTGGAGATTGCATGCTCGTCTCTCTGCTTCTGTGTTTCAGGTCTGTGTCTGAATCTGGGATTGTGCCTGGGTCTGTGTCTGGGTCTGTGCGCATGCGGTTTTGGGATATGCCCGATTCTGCAAAATGACGTGACAAGGCTTATGAATTGTTGGTCAATCGGATGCCATGATCCCCAAACAGAAAACGGATGGAACGGACCTAAGGACTAAGGATTGCATTTGAGAAGCCCAGATAAAGCCGGCCCTTACCGCCCCACTTCGCACAACCCTGGAGGCGTTCTCGAAGGCTCCCCTCAAATGTGGACCCGCTGGCTGGTCGCTTCTATTCGCTGCTCGTTCTTTGACACACACACACACACGCTCGCAAGAGTCCATGTTTTCAGTGTGCATCCAATGAGGCAGTTGGGACTTGTTGATTCGGCTTCCTCGCGAATCAGTTGGAGCACTGTTAACGGTGCCTAAAATGAGTTGCAGTTGCTGTGCCCTTTGATTAGGGTACAACTCCTTTTTGGTAAGAGCACTCCTAACCCCGGCCAACAAACTGATGTCTTTTTTGGGGGGAACCCCCAAAATGGAATTCGGTGTTCCTTTTTGTTTCCTTTAAAACCACCCTCAACAAAAGACACGCCCCAAATATCGACCCTTTTCACGGGCGTCTCCTTGCCACTCGCACCTGGTGTCCCATAGCTCAGCAAACATTGCCCCCCCCCTCCAGGAACAGCTACAAATACCCGGGACCGCAAGCCCTCAGTCCCCTTAAAGATTAGGGGGTGTCTTTTTTGGAGGGTACCCCCTTTTATGTGGCGTTCCGCTATTTGTTTTGCTTTGGGGACTTTGGTAGAGTTCTTGACGAAAGGACCTGACTCACACGTCTGGCACACAAGTGTCCCACATCGGGGAAAGTATTGATGGATTCCAACAAACCCATTGGAGCCAAACAAAAAAGCAGGAAAATCTAAGTCAGAGCTCAAACTGGGGAAATGAAAATTGCAATGTGTTTGTTGTTTTTGCCACATGGCAAACAGTGGAACCCGAAGTTCAACCGGTAGACAACAACATATTTACTCGTCATGTACTCCCCGTGCCCACCAGAGAATGGCCAAAGTCGAGTGCAGGAGTGAGGGGAGGGGGAGCGTTCACCAACCATAATGTTTGGGTTGCAAGAACCCTTCTTTCAGGGAATGTTGCGGGTTTAGGCGCCTAACATGGCCAACGAGTTTTGGGCTCGTACAGTTTGTTCAAAGCCCGGTAGAAGCATCTAAAGCTTGGCCCGCTGGGGTGCTCCGAAAAACATATGTCCAGAGTCGGTTTCATAATCCGTCTATCTGGACCCTCAAAATTCCCTTAGCATTTTCAAATGAGGTACCCAACAAATACAAACATACAAACAAACAAACAAACCAAACAAACAAACAAACCAAACAAACAAACAAACAAACAAACCAAACAAACAAACAAACAAACCAAACAAACACCTATGTGATGGTTCTGAGACCTCTCTAATGAGCTCCAACCCGGTCCTGAACGTCCACATCGGCGCCGTTCTTAATCAGGAGCTTCAGGCAGGCATAGTTCCCCCGGAAGGCGGCGTGCATGGCGGCCTCCGAGGAAAAAAACAAATAAACGTAGAAATCCTCGGTGGCGAAATCTGCTCCCCTGCTTTTTTCTAACTTTGAGTGGTTTAGTGGAAAACCCCATTAGTTGGCAAAAAGTTGTTCAGTCCTAACAGCCCTTGGCAAAATGCACCAAAGAATCGGCCGTGGGTGGGAAGGAGTTGTTGCTGTGGGTCAAAAATCGGGTCACACACCAAAATGGGTTACCCAAAATGGGTTGATGGAACCACGGAAACTAAAGTCTGCGGCCCAATTCCTGGTTTAATTTGGACCCATAACCATTTGTTGCTGCCTCAAACATACCCGGAGTCTCCTTCTGACCCTAAAATGGTTGGTGATTGCCCGAAATAATGGGGTGGACCCATGTTTAAAGGTTCAGAAGGAGACTCCAGGTATGAACACCACCTGGTGCTTTAGCAACCTTCTCCTTCAAAAGTGACCAAGCCGGTCGATTGGCTCTCAAATGCATTCTGCCCCCCACGCCTGTTCAGACAAGCCATCCCGATAGTTTGTTTAGGGAGGGATTTCAACCGGTACAAGCTGGTAGAAACTGACCCCTGGAGGTGATTCCCACGCGTCGCTGTTCGGTGGGCCACCTGGTTTAAATATGGAACCCAACTCGCAATGTCAGCTTCAGGCTTCCCAAAAACACAAGATATGCTCACCAGTCGCGACGGTTTTCCTTCAAAACAACTGGGGGGCAAACAAAACACACGTCCCTTTACCAAATCGAGTTACCTCCATTTGCTTAAGTTCCCTGGAGACAATACACATATGTTCAGTAGTGAAATTGATTCACTTAAAATAGCAAATGGAAGGTTACTTGATGCGTGTTGCCCATTTTCTGGCCTAACCTGATGTGGTAACTGCTTTATGCCTGCAGCTTTACCCCGAGGGTTGAGGGTGGGTTACCGGGTCTTTGGGGTCAAAGAGGCAGGGGTCCTTGAAGGCGCACCGAAACACGACTTGGCAAATGCGAAGAAACAAAAAGAGGCGAAACAGCTGGGAAGGTGGTTGTTGTGGTGTCTCTCAACCTCAAAACTGATGGTTGCCGGTTGGTGTCCTTTCCCGAAAAGAGTACCTTCAGAAAAAGGACGAGCCAACATGGATCCAACACGTGTGTTTGTCCTTTTTTGCGGGGGACATCGCAAAATGGTGGTGTAAAGGGAAACAACCACAAAAACAA